ACCCACACACACACACACACACACACACGCACGCACGCACGCACGCACGCACGCACGCACGCACGCATGCACGCACGCACGCACGCACGCACGCTCGCGCACGCACGCACGCACACACGCACACACACACACACACTCAACTAACGATGGAAAGCAGGTTCCGGTGAAGTGGTCGAGGCTTCTGGGCTCCACGCCACGAAACGCCGCCACGACGTCGGGGGTTTGCGGACCACGGCGCATCGCCGATGCAGCAGCGATACGGCTCGATGTGGAGCCCGATGCTCAGCGCTGGGGGGCCACATGCGAACCCTGCCCCTACCCCCCACGATTTCTGAGGGGGCGGGTGGGGCTTCGTGGCCCTCAGACATCCTGGGGGTAGGGGCAGGGTTCGCATGTTCAAGGGCGAAAGAAGGACGTACACGTACATGAATCCACGTTGGTTTCCGGAGTGCGCATTGCGCGAATGTGCGTATCACGCGGACGGTCTCGCGGATCGAGAGGCCGTGTTCATGGACATGGTTGGGCGCGTGCGTCCTCTGTGGGCTCCCTACATGTGGCCCCCCAAACGCGCCGGCGACGCGGATGCATCGCCGACGTCGCGGATACCTCGGCGACGCCTCGGCGATGCGGCGCGGCCCGAGCTGCCCCCGATCTGCTTCGGACCCCATTCGGATCGAGGCGCGAGGCGCGAGGCTCCGCGGCGTGAAGGCCCGCGGAGCGAGGCCCGAGGAGCGAGGACGAGCAGCGAGAGGCGAGGAGCGAGGCTCTGGGTTCGAGGGCCGAGGAGCGCTGTGCGAGGATGCGAGGATCGCTGGGGGCAGATGCGATGATAGGAGTGATGTGATGATCTAGGTGCGAGGATCGAGGAGCCAGCTTCGATTGATCGAGATTCGCTGGGGGCATCGGGGGCGTCCACGAGGGGGGGGATGACTTAGGGGGGGGAGGGTTTCATGGCGGGACCCATGGTGTCTTCCCTGAGTTCATGGCCCCCCTTTGTTGTTGCAGTGTGTACGACCCCTGGCCCGGAAGGGGTCCCGACTTCGGGGGTCGACGTTGATGGCATCGCAGTTCTGGGTCCTCTTCAGTGGTCTCAGGGACATGGACCTCCCAGATCCCTCGGCTCCCCCCTCTTCTGCCTTCGACACGTCTCCTGGCCCCCACTCGTCCGCGCACCTGCCTCGGGCCATGCCTCCATGGTGCGCTGGTCCTCCCCGGGGCCCCGGGGCCTGCGAAAAGCAGGCCAGGCCGAGGAGGGGCCAGTCGACCACGGCCCCCGAGGGGTCGCGCGTGCACGTGCGCTGGGCTGCACGGTGCGCGCTGCGCTCGACCTCCTCGCACGCTGGCGGCGACGGCTCGAGGTGGGATTGCACGCTGGCGCGCGCGAGCAGAGCACGGCACAGGGCACGCGCAAGTTCCTCCGCTCCTTCTTTCGCCTCCTCCCGCCTCTCCCGCTCCTCCGGCCTCCTCCTCCTCCGCTTCCTCCTCCTCCTCCTCCTCCTCCTCCTCCTCCTCCTCCTCCTCCTCCTCCTCCTCCTCCTCCTCTCCTCCTCCCCCTCCCCCTCCTCCTCCCTCTCCTCCTCCTCCTCCTCCTCCTCTCCTCCTCCTCCTCTCCTCCTCCTCCTCCTCCTCCTCCTCCTCCTCCTCCTCCTCCTCCTCCTCCTCCTCCTCCTCCTCTCGTCTCTCCCTCTCCTCATCCTCGTCATCCTCGTCCCCCTGCTCCTCCACCGGCCCGCGGGTGGCCTGTCAAAAAGCCACCCGCGGTGACAAAGAGGTCCTCTCCGATGGGCCCCCCCCAGGGTTTCTCTGGACGAGCCCTCTCTGTTTCTCTCTCCCTCAGTGGCGTGCGATCCTGCTCCTCCTCCTCCTCCTCCTCCTCCTGCTCCTCCTCCTCCTGCTCTTCCTCCTCCTCCTCCTCCTCCTCCTCCTCCTCCTCCTCCTCCTCGTCTTCCTCCTCCACCTCCTCCTCTTCCTCCTCCTCCTCCTCCTCCTCCTCCTCCTCTTCTTGGATCGAGGAGCGAGGCTTTGGGCGGCGCCTTCTGGCCCTTTCTGGTGCCTCCCGCGGGCCTTCGGGGGCCCATCCTGCTCTTCTTCGCTTTCTCTCCCCCCTCCGCTGAGGTCCGAGGCTGTGGAACAAGTGCAACACCGCGAAAGATCGCGCCGGGAGCCCCAGCGAGACCTTACAGTCGGAGCGAGGCTCAAGATCGAGGCCGGTTTGGGGAGGGCAACTCGCCAAATGTTCGTCGTGCTGGCCAGAGGTTCTCGTGCATCCTGGGGGAGGGCACCCTCGAATGCTCTTCATTTTGGCAGGCGGAGGGCCTCATGCTCTTGAGGGATGTTACCCTGCCCTAGGTCCGACCTTATCTTTCTGCCGCATTTTTTCGAGCGGGATCGATCTGGGATGCTCCCTCCTCCCTCCTCCCCCACTCGCTGGTCATGGCCCCCTCCCCGAGGAAGCGGTTCATGGAGCGCTACCGCGACCGGATCGCCACCTCGCAGGAGCTGTGCGGGCCTCTGGAGAGGCGGGGGAAGAGGGGACCGGGCGGCACGGCGGAAAATGTGTGTTTTACAGTTTTCGCTTCCGGGGGGCCCTCGCTGGGGCCACGCGGGCTCCGAGCGCCCTCGAGCGTCGCCGCGAGCGCGTGGTCTACTCTTGTCCTACCCGCCCCCCCGCGAAACTTGTCAAAAAGTCGTGTCGCTCCCATTATGTGAACCGCGTGCCCCCATTCTGACTCAGGACGACGAGCTGGTCCAGGGCAATGGGGCCGAGACCTCTTGGGGTCGGCGCTGTGAAAGTAGGAGGACTTCGGGGGCTGGGGGGTCCGAGGCTGCCGGCAAGGGGCCCAGACGGAGCCCCCAACGGGGCCCCGCCCCCGTGAAGCAACGCCTGAGGGCTCCTCCTCCTCCCCCTCCTCCTCCTCCTCCTCCTCCTCCTCCTCCTCCTCCTCCTCCTCCTCCTCCTCCTCCTCCCCCTCCTCCTCCTCCTCCTCGTCCTCCTCCTCCTCCCGGGAGCTCGAGCTCCGCCCGGGACTCCTGGACCGATCGCAGGTCGCTCCGTAGATGGCCCGCGCACGGCTGCCACCCGGTGCAAGACTACTGGAGAACACCCTTGACAACAGTTCACCTCAGCGCTGCTTGTACTTCACGCTGAGATCCGACCGCCGCGTCAAAGAGAGTGAGTTCCAGCCCCGCCCACGGTCCTCGACCCCCCTGTGGTCGGTCCCCAGCGGCCACCGCACTGTGTCAGAGTTCCCAACATGATCTTTGTGCTGAACGCCCTCTTGGAGGGGGTGATGCACGGGTGTCTTTCCAGACATCCACCCGATTATTGAAGAAAGAAGAAGATGACCGAGGAAAAACAACGGCATGAGCAAAAACGTTCAGAGGTCCGCGCGGATTTTTTGCTTCGGCGCTGGATCCGCCTCCGTGGCGTGCGGAGCGCGCAACGGGCGGCGCCCGAGGCGCTGCAAGGGGGGGGTCCGTTTCAAAAGGTTTACTTCATTATGTTTGTATTGTTGTTCCTTCTTTTACATGATCACTGCGATGTGACGGGCATCGCGTTCGGACCTGATCGGACCTCTGACGGATGGTGTCGACTCGGGTTTTGCTGCCCCTGCGCGGCCAGATCGGTTGGAACCCTCATGAAGACGTTTTGCAGTCTTGGTTTGATTGGAGGGTTCGACGTGTCCGCCTACCCGTCCTGCTCCACGTTCCCCTTCCCCTCCTTCTCCTCGCCCCCCTCCTCCTCCTCCTGGACCGTCAGAAACGGGCCCAGGGCGCAATTTGCCCCCAGGGTACGGGTCTGGATCTCCTAGGTCCTAGGCCGCGAATTGAAAAACATCAAATCGGATGATCCTTGACGTCCGACGTCGTGTTGTTTTCACCGCGTGGACGCCCGGATGTCTGGACCCCTTCCCCAAAACTAGCTTTTCATCCCGAGTCGTTTGTTGATGGTCCCGAGGCCCAGAGGTCGTTTTTTTTTGTCATGACGCGAAGGGGTCTGAGACAGTCTCCCTTTTTGATGATCGATACTCGAGGGCAAACCTTAGCCGGGCTGGCGGCTGCCGCCGCCGTCGGCGAGGACGACGACTTCCTTCAGTTCGTGATATCCCTGGACGGCTTCGAGCCTGGTTCGAAGGCGCAGGGGGAAACCTCCTCCTCATCATCCTTCTCCTCCTCCACCTCATCCTTCTCCTCATTCACCTCCTCCCGTCCCTCGTCCTCCTCTTCCTCTTCATCCTCGTCCTCGTATCTGTACCATCCTCTTCCTCCTCCTCTCTTTGCTATCCTTTTCTCCTCCGCCTCTTTGTTCCTCCTCCTCCTCCTCCTCCTCTGCCTCTTCCCTTGCCCCCTCCCCGATTCCTCCTCCTCCTACTCCTCTCTCTCCTCCTCCTCCTCCTCCTCCTCCTCCTCCTCCTCCTCCTCCTCGTCGTCCTCTTTCTCCGTCTTCTTCTTCTTCTTCTTTTTCTTCTTCTTCTTCTTCTTCGTTATCCCCGGAGCCACAGAAGGGCCAGTTTGCGGCCCTTCCTTGAGAGCCTTTCGGGCAGTCATGGACGCTCTTGACACCAGAAGGCCGACAGTCGTCGTCGTCGTCGTCGTCGTCGTCGTCGTCGTCGTCGTCGTCGTCGTCGTCGTCGTCGTCGTCGTCGTCGTCGTCGTCGTCGTCCGTCGACGGTCGTCCGTCGTCCGTCGTCCGTCGACCGCCGCCCGCCTTCCGTCATTCGCCGTTGTCCGTCGCCCGCCCCCCGTCGTTCGTCGTCGTCCGTCGTTCGGTGCCGACGGGCCGACAGAGACCCGCCGACTCGGGCTGCCAGGCTGCTCTGGGCCGCGCATCCTTTGGTGGGAACTGCTCCTCCGCGATGCTGGCGAAGCGGATCTTCCTCGCTGCGGGGTGTGCAGAGGTCTTCCAAGCACGGCATCAGTTCTCAAGCCGTCCCGCGGCCTTCTTTCTCCTCGCCCCTCGCCCGCCGGCGCACCTGCGTTTCAATTCGCAGCGGATGCGTCCCGCCGTTGGCTTGACCTCTTGTTGGACCCACACCTCCGCGGGTGCGTGCCCTTGAGAAGTCTCCAAGTATGCGACCTCGGCCACTGTCCTGATGAGCTTTGAGGTTGCCTCGGTGGCTCAGGCTATCAAAATCATTAGCGGCTCGTCCGCCTCGTCATGCGAACGCGCGCGTGACGCTACAGTAGACGACGTGTTTATGTGAGCTGTGGGAAGCTTGTCGAAGGGCGCGGAGTTTTTGTAGGAAAAGGTAGATGGCATATCTCTCTTAGGAACTGGCGGAGTGCCCCGCGGTGGGAACGTGCAAGTCAGAGCGACCGTGAACGGCCAGGGCGTGCCTGCCGTCACCGCGGATGCGCACGTGGAACACTTGCTCTCCTCGTGTATGCGTGGGGTGCGGAACCGTCCTCGCCCAAGTGCACGTACACGTGAGGAGCTCAAGCGAGGGCGCCGCTTCGAGCGTCGGAAGGAGATGGATGCCCCTTCCTCGGCGGAAGCCAGCGGCAGCAGAACCGGGCCGCCTCCGCCGGCGGAAGCTCGGCGGAGGGCGGCGGAAGTCAAGCTCGGCCCCCCGAGGAGGGGGCACGGTCCCGAGGCCGTCGAGCTCGAGGCTCTTCGACCCCGCCGCGTCTGTGTCGCCGCGCCGTGTTCGTCCCGACGCGCGGCCTCGCGCCCTGGGGGAGGGCGCCCTGGCCACGCCAGGGCGGACGCCGCCTCGGCCGCAGGGTCCGCCGCGGGTGTGCCGTGGTGCCGGCTGCGTCGGCTCGGGCGCGTCGAGAGCAAGCGGCGCGGCCACGCGCGAGGAGCTCCAGGAGGGGCCTCGCCGCCGACGAGGACAAGGACGACGAGGAGGAGGACGAGGAGGAGGAGGAGGAGGAGGAGGAGGAGGAGGACGACGACAACGGCGGCGGCGACGACGACGACGAGGAGGAGGAGGAGGACGACGACGACGACAACGGCGACGACGACGACGACGACGACGACGGCGACGACGACGGCGACGGCGACGAGGACGAGGGCGACGAGCCTGGGGTCGTGGATGGGAGGGCGGGGGCCCCTCTGCAGGCGCCGCGCCCGGGCCCCGCCCCGAGGCCGCTGCGGCCTGGGCACGCCGAGCGCGCCCTTGGCGCCCGCAGGCGGAACCTGCGAGCTCTGGCGCAGGGCCCTCGCCCTTCGGCCCTCCAACGTCGACCCTCAAAGCGTCGATCCTCCAACGCCGATCCTCGATCCTCGAACGTCGAACGTCCATCCTCGACCGTCGAACGTCGATCCTCGAGCGTCGAGCGTCCATCCTCGATCCTCGAACGCCGATCCTCGATCCTCGAACGTCGATCCTCGAACCTCGATGATCGATCCTCGAACGTCCAACGTCCATCCTCGATCCTCGAACGTCGATCCTCGATCCTCGAACGTCGAACGTCGGTCCTCGAACGTCGAACGTCGATCCTCGAAGCTCGAACGTCGATCCTCGAAGGTCGAACGTCGAACGTCGATGCTCGAAGCTCGAACTTCGATCCCCGATCCTCGATGGTGGACGACGGCGGCGCCGCTGGCGGCGACAACGAGGCGCCCCCTGCCACGCCCGATCGGAGAGGCCGCTCCGCGCGCCCGCGCTCCCCGACGCCCCCTCGGACGCGAGGACGACGACGAGGACGACGGCGGCGACGACGACGACGAGGACGACGACGGCGACGACGACGACGACGAGGACGACGACGGCGACGGCGACGGCGAGCTGGGGTCGTGGATGGGAGGGCGGCACCGCGCCCTCGCTCCCCGACGCCCCCTCGGCGTTTCACCCGCGGGCGCTCCCGCCCCGCTTCGGGCCCCTATGGGCCCTCTCGCCACGGGGGACGCGGGTCCCGAGGGAAGCGGGCCCCGAAGCTTTCCTGCTGCTCTCGGGCTCTCGGGGCCCTCCACGGGCCCTGGGGCTGCCAGAAAACGAGTCAGGATGAAGATCTCGTCCTGTGGGGGAGGTCTCGGGGTCCAGGACCCGCTTCCCTCAGGACCCGCTTCCTTCTTGCGGACCGGCACGGATCGATCGGGCCCGACAAGTGTTGCGAAAGATTCGAGGAAGACAAAACGACATACACGTAGGTTTTCGACGGTTCGCGCAGATTTCTCGGATCTGCGCTGACCTACCTGGTTGCGCCTCTGGCGCTGCCCTTGGTGCGCTCCGCGCGCCAGGGAAAGGGGGTCCGCGCGGATCCGAGATGCGCGGACCGTCGAAAACTCATGCTTCTGTAGTTCCTGTTGTTCCTGATGCTGGGGTGCAGGGCCCTGGTCGTGATGTGCCTCGATGCTGCAAGTCTCTTTCGCAGCGTCGGATCTTGGGGAGAGGGGTCGCTGCTCGCTGCACGCCCTCCTGCCCGCGGGGTGCCCCGAACTCCGGCATCGCGCTTGTTGTCCACAACTCAGGAGGGGAAAAAACACACAGACACAATTAATCGTCGATTCCCCAGAAAATATGGAAAAGTATGGGAAGTGGGGGGGAAGACAAAACCCAGAAAATATAGGAAAATGTAGGGAATTATTTTATTTGTGTGTATTTATTTGTGTTTTCGTGGGCCCCTTCAACAACGTGGACCCCTATCGAGGTCTGGGCCCCTTCCCTGAGGCTGGCTCCCCTGACGCTCCACCCTCCGCACCTTCCGACCGGCAGGTGGCCGATCCAGTGGCCTTCTCGAGGGACAACATGGCAGAAACGTAGACTTTCGAAGCTCCGCGCGAATTTCTCTGTTCGGCGCTGGACCCTACTGAGGCGCCTCCAGCGCCGCCCCCTAGCGCGCTCTGCGTGCCAGGGAGGGGGCTCCAGCGCCGATCCAAGAAATCCGCGCGGACCTCCGAAAGTGTACGGTAGGTTCGTGTCGTGTCGACCGGCGGCGACCTCGCCAGCGGCGTTCAACTTTGAACGCCGCGGGCGACCCAGAATCGTTCGATGTGGAACGATTTGGACGTTTCGGAAACGGCCGATCTTTCAAGGTTGAACGATCCCCGCGGTGTCAGAAACCAACGCCGAAGTCGGCACGACACGAACCTGACGTATGTTAATGCATTATTGTTGTTCCTCTATTCCCTGGGGCCGGCTTGTCATCCCGAGTTATCTTCCGACGGTCCCAGGGCCCGGCGAGGGCCCCCGCGGAAGACGAAATCGTCCCCAAGTCGCCCGCCGTGGGTTCTTGGCGACGAGAGGAGGAGGAGGAGGAGGAGGAGGAGGAGGAGGAGGAGGAGGAGGAGGAGGTTGTTGTTGTGGAGCGACCTAAAGTCAGAGAAAAAACTTAGAAGACCTCCCCCTCCGAATCCGAGGCGTCCTCATCCTCGGGATCCTGGGAAGGTCGGGGAGCCGCCTCGCCTAGCGACCTGACCATGTCGAGGTCGCACTCCTGGAGGCCGTAAGCATCGAGCACGGCCTGGCGGCAAGCGTAGCCGAGCCTGGGCCGACGGCCCGCCTGACCTGCGGCAGGAGAAGGCGAGGCATGGCAACGAACACTCGTGAGGTCCCTCTCAGCCTCCGAGAGCCCTGGAGACTGGGAAACCACTAAATTCTTGGACGAGGCCCTTCCGTGGGGGTGCCTGCCATCCCGAATTCGCTTCAGCTGGTGCCTGACCTGAGCGGAACGAGGCCTGTGGTTACACCCTGCCACGAGCAGGTCCCCTGGCCTATAGTCCTCGCCATAGGCCCCGCATTTCACACAGAACACGATAGGCACACCAGCACGGGCGGGGCTCTCGATGACACAGCACATGAGAGCATGGCCCTGCAGAAAGAAGGCTGAGTTGGCCATGTCTGCCCAGTCCAAGCAACCCGTCCCTCCCGACCCAGGCTCCACCCCGTCCCCACCCTCCGACTCAATAATCTCAGGCTCAGGCAGAGGTGCCGGCTCGTGAGAATCGGGAGCAACCTTTTCAGCCGCCGCGAGGCCAACAGTGTCCAGACGCTTCTCTGACTGACCCTGCAAATGTACCTCTAAATTGGCGGCCCACTTGGCCGACCCCTTTACCAAACATTTTAAACCTTTGTACATATTCACATCAGATTCACACAAGAGATGCTTGGCAGCGGCCATCTTCGCATAAGAGTCGACCGAGTCGTTGGCGTTCTTTTCCCACAGGGTTGTCTTCCCTCTGTGGACATCGGCCATCGTGCAATGTGCTGCCGTTTTGCTCGCCGTGACGTCCCCTGGTGCAAAGCTGGACCAAAAGGGGGCCCAGAGATGGGCCCTGGGCCCTCCCGCAGAGGCCCCCGCCCCTGGGCCTCCCCAGAGGACATCCAGGGTTCCTTGGCAGTCACAAAACAAACGAATTGGCGCCATCGCGCATTGCAACAGCATGTGCACGGCGAAGTCTTCTCCATATTTAGCCGACTGTCTCGGCCCGTGGGAAAAAGGAACGAGCCCATAGCACGCTGATACAACATTGCCCAGAGGGTCAGCCTGGACGAAGGCCCAGCCAACGCGCGAAAGCCCTGGGATCCCAGGCCAGCGGGCGGACCCGTCCGAAAAAATTAAACCACTGAGACGGCCTGTAGCAGGCCTGTTGATCCAGAAAACCGTCTGCTCAGGCTCCAGCGCTGGAAAGAGAGCCAGCGGCGAGGGGAATATCGCTCGAGCGAACCGCTCCGCCAGCTCCTCCCCTCTCTCATACACGCGCGCCGCTCTGCTAGCGAGCTGAGGCGAGACCATGTCCCTCCTGAGGGGCGCATTCGCTGGGCATCGATACTGCCTGTGAAACAGACTCCCCGCCCCCTCCTGACACAATATACACTTGCAGCAGCTGTGGTAGCCATGCTTGTGCACCCGTGCTTGTGGCCAGTGCACATTGCTCATCAAGCTCCTCGGGGACCTCGGATGCTGGGGCTTCCACGTGGAGGAGGAGGATCGGAGGAGAGGGTTCAACGCATCCCAGACCAGAGGGTACCCTGGGACATCATCGCCTGCATGCATAAGGGCCTGCCTGTCAGAAGCCCTGATGGCAGCCGCTCCGACTTGCAGCCGAAACCCGACTGGTGAAATCTGCGAAAGGTTCCAGACCTGCCCGAGGTCCGACACGACCGATCGAAAGTCCAGAAAACTCCAACCGATGCGCTGCGGAGTCAAACTAGCAACATCCGCAGGCGTGGCCCCTTCCACGGGTACTTCTTTGAATTCGCTCGAGCGATTGCTGCGCCAGCCGTCGCACTTAAAACCGAAACATTGGGAAAACTGTCCCAGACCGCAGTGGCCCACTGAAGGGCCACATGGCCAACATAGGCCACGAAATGGTCCACGATTTCGCCCAAACGAAACGAGTGCAACCGCATTCCCAGGGAGGCTCCTTTTGGGTGGCGCCCTGAAGCATGGGCCGCCGACAACCTCGGACCATGCATGGTCGTCGGCGAAATCCCCGAGACGCTGCTACCCCAGAGAGCTGAGGCCGTTGCCCCCATTCGTTGTACAAGAGCCACATCAGCCCCAGCCCCCCTCAGAAGTCGAAGTCGTTTCGAACGCGAACCTGCGTCGATGAACCTCGCCCTCTGCACTCCCACACGTCTCCTAGTCCCAGTTGTCGCGTCTGTGCCTAGATTACGCGCATGCTCGACCCGAGACGACGCAGGCAGACACCAATCACCAGTAACATGAGCTTGCACTTCACGCGTGCACATGCACTTGCTTTTCCTGATGTTCACGGGCAAGTGAAGCTCGTTAAAGCACGCAAAGAGCTGGCCGAGTGCACCCGCGAGTACCTGTGCTACCTGCAGTGGTCGCCCACAAACCTGAAGCGCCACATCGTCCACAACATTGCGGATGAAAAGGTTGGGGCGACCTTGCAGAGTGAGAAGGAGAGGTCGGAGCAAAAGTAACTTGGCCAAAGTTGTCGCCCCTGAACATCCTGCCACCACAGCTGCATTCGCCAAGTATGCCGTCGAGACTGCTCCTCCATACAGAAGTGCCTTCTATCCTGCATAAATCGCGCAGTACCCCCTGAGGACCTTGATGGGGAGCCCATACTGGGGCCCAGCAGCTTGGAGATCCTGGTGCCTTATATGTTCGTAAAATCTGCTCAAGTCCACCAAGGCAGACCCACTCTGAAGACCAACCTCCTTGCAGAAACCTCCCAAGAGATTGTGGACCCAACCAGCCCTCTCGCACGTGTTGTG